ACTGCAAGGAAAGAGGGGCGCACCCCTTTTTGGAGAGGTCTTCCTTAATGGTCTGCATCTTTGCATCTGCATGTGCTTCGTTGGTGGTCTGAACTTCCAAGCTACCATTTCCTGTCAGATCCAAACAAGCCCGGATGCTACAAAACTGGCGTGCTAGCTCTGTGAGACGCCAGGCCTTGTACTGAATTACTGAGCCCTCCCTTCTGCTCAGCGTCCCTTAGGGCAAGTTTCATAAGTGCTTTACCTGCCATGTCATGAACATACTCATGTCTCGAATATACTCATACTATGCTACACAAGACCTACCAAAATCCTTACAGACCCTCCAAAGAAAACCGAGAAAGTCTCGTGAGCCGAATAGGAGTACTGTCTTAATGCTAGAGCTTCACCACATCAAAACTATTGTCCCTCAAGAGCAGGGCAAAAAGGAAGTCACATGGCCATTCGTGGCACTGGCCCTTGCGACCTTTTTGTGTGAAACAAGTCTGCCATGCAGCGCTGAGTTGGATTGTGATCTCTGCTCTCTGGTTCGGACGAGCTTTAACGGCAGCATGCCATGCGGTTTCGGTTGGCTCCTACCGTTCATCTTCTGGGTTCTTTCTTACATCCTAGCTGCTTTGTAACTTGTGGAGGTTTCTGGGCATTCTGCTTTTTGAGCTCGGAGTTTCTCCCTAAGAAGGGATAAAAGGGCCTTTTTGGGAGGAGCGCTTGTGGATGTAAACCAAAGTAGTAGGCTCCACTGTGTGCTTTCCAAGCTCGGCTGCAAGAGGCAGTGCATGGGAACCCAAGCCCCAATGATGCTTCCTGCGGGAAGACAGAGTGAGTTGTGGTTTCGCCGGGATGCAGCATGCTGTAATCTGCCAGGCGACTACCCATGACATGCTCGTAAACTTTCCATAAATGGGCAGAACCCTTTTTGGACACCAGCTTCGGAAACTACAGCTGTCTGCAGATCCCGACAAACCCAAATGATACAACAATTGCATGCAGGCCACCGCCAATCCTCCCGTCTGCTTAAACGTCCCTTCGGGCAACTCCTGTACACGCTTTACCTGGCATATCTCAGGATATCAAGTACGCTAGACTTACCCCTATAGTTATCCCTGCTTTAATGTGGAGCTGGGCAAATTCCATGAGGAAGCTGTACAAATGCTCGATTTCCTAGCCTGCAACCTTAGGCTGGCTCAAAGGGCATGTAGTCTCTTCCTATTTGCGTGTACCGCTGCCAACCTTCTTTGGAATTCGGAGTAGTGTGAACCCTGGATGGTAGGACATCACATAGACTTCCTTTTTGCCGAAATAGTCCGTTTAAAGACATTACTTGTTGGGAGATACATTGAATGTCACGCGGTGAGGCCTGTGCTTAAAGTGCAATGAATTTGCCTGGGCCTCCGAGCTTTCTACTCACTGTCCATCATCCTCTGCCGTCCCATGGTTGCTGGAGCCTCGTCCGATCGCGGCTGCTAGAATTGTCATGCTTTCTACCTGCCGGTCTTGATTTGAAGTGCTTCTGTTTCTGGAGTTCGTCCTCCCATCGCTAAGATTGATGTCTGCAGTGCCTTTCGCATCCAGAAATGTGCGGCAAAGCAGAAAGATGCTGCAAGAAACCATCCTCAAAAAGCAGACACCGCCACTGACTTGTGAAGCATCTAGGCTAGGTGGACCTTAAGTGATAGTGACTACAAGGGATACTGGTGATTATAACCAATAAGCGTCCTCTGATATTCCTTGTTCAACACTATTACAGGGTGGGGGGGCTCTACCTAACATCTAGGTCCTAGATCCCCAGCAACCCATTGGGGTTGAAGATGGGGACTTCCAAAAATATGGGGATCGCTTTTCGAGGCTCTTCTCAGAAGGATATATACATATATGCATTTTTACGTGTATGTGATTTCGGACAAAAGAGGGAGCCCATCATCGGAAACTCCCATACAGTGGATCCTCAACCCACCCACCCTTGGCCAGAAAGAAATCCTGTACTATTATGCAGCCACCCCAACATTGGGACCCAGAAGTAGTTTCGAGACATTCCCATACGAAGAACCACGGCCCCGAGCCGCGAAGGCCCTCCATCCTAAACCCTGAACCATCCCGAACCCTAAATCACGAATTACGTAACCTGAACACAAATGTTGTGGACCGCTGCCTGTGCGGTGCCATCCTGGCGTGGCGGATCTGCTCCTCTGCACAGATGGATAATTCAGCACTTTAATTGGGATTTCTTATAATTAGGGGTACCATTTTGGGGGTCCCAATAATAAGGATTATAATATATTGGGGTGTATATTGGGGTTTCCCTACTTTGGCCTCGGCGCTTATCGTGGTTCATAGCTTCCCTGCCAAAACTTTCGCACTGTTGCATGCAAAGGGAATGCCTTCTGGGCCATGGGGCGACCACGAAAACTTGATGAACTCCAAAGTATTGAGGGGGAGGGGGGGGGGGCGGCCCCTCTTCTGCAGCCTCCACAGAAAACTCGCCAAAAAGGGGCCAAAACCAGCCCAAAACCAGCCCATAATTTGCCGGTTTGCCCATAAACGTGTGCCATCGGATTCTGAAACCTCTTGGCCCCCTAAAAGGCCTAGGGAGGGTGACCATTCTCAACAACAACCCTGCCTGGACTTAGCAGACTTCGCAGATTTCGGCTTGAGGGGATTTCAGGTTCTGGCCTTGGAGCCACTTCTAACAGAAATGAGCAACACAGAACCAACTCAGCGGTGCGCGGATCCCTGGAAATTTCACAGAAGTTCGGGACCGATGCCTGTATGCGAACTTACAATCCGGAGGCTGGGGGCTTCCCTGAAGTGGTGACATGATGCTTCACCCAACTGCTCAAAGCCAAGCCCCACCGGCAATAGCAGACAAAATCCACCTTCAACTCTGTACAAAAAAGCGGGCCGAATCAATTTTCAGCAAAGCCCTAAACCCCAACCATGACGCCCCTGATGTCTTAATCCTACACCCTGGATCCTGAATCCTAAGCCACGCATCCTCACTCCCAACCCTAAAGCAGCCCCACAGCCCACGAAACATTTTTGAAACCTCCACAAAACTCCGACAGAAGCCCTTACAAAAGGCCGTGTGTCGCAAGGCCTGGCTGCCAGCGGTACCAGAGCCACGCAAGGACCAGAGCTGAAATCGTGTGGATTCCCACGAACCTGGCTTGCCCAGGCTGCTTAGGGTAATACTAATAGTAATACTACTCCGAATAGTAATAGGAATAATAATCATAAATATTGTTATTATAGAGCATCGGAGGGCGTCGCAGGGATCTTGCCTTGATTCTTCGGGAAGGCCGGAGTGCGGGCTTAATAGCCTGGGGCTAGGTCTGAACTCATACGTCACTCCCCCAACCCCAACTAACCAGCGCCGAGAAACGCAGGCATCACTGAGGCCACCAGCTCCTTGGGGGGCAAGGGTTAGGGTTTTACCCTTCGAGTCTACTTCGCTCCAGCAGGCAGGAGTTTTCGGGTTTTGACTGAATGTTTGCCGTTCGAGGTACAGGTTTGAGTATCCAGTGCTGAGGTGAGCTTCTCATCTCGAGCATCTCAGAGGCAAAGCTTTGCGTACAGGCACTGAGGAGTGCTTCAGCTGAGATAAAACCTGAAGTCCTCTCCAAAATCTCAACAAGATGCGCCGATGCTTGGTGCAACGGCAAGTCTCAGATGGCACACTACTAGAAGGAACAGCTCATCAGGCGCCAGCTGGCTTCCCGCCGTTCCGCTGGCTTCGCTGAGCTCGCAGAGCGTGAAATGGCAAAGCTTATGTGCGGTGTTTAGGAAGCCCTTTTGGATCACTGGCACAAGGCGGGCTCGAGGCAACGGAACACTCTCACTCATAAGTGATTAAGAGTTGCTGTTTTAGAGGCCCCTTACCCTGAGGCCCCTGACGCTTCGACACCGGCAGACAGCCCCTCATAAAAAGCACCGAAGAGCCTTAGCCCTAGCCCTGGTCAGATGGGCGTTGGCCCTCTGCGGCAGTCTTCCCAAGTTCTCCTGATAGCCACAAAAGAAACCAAGCCTGCCCTGACCTGAGCCCCCGGCAGCCTGTGACACTTTCTGCACCTTCCGGGCAGGCAACAGGTGTTTCGCTGCATGGGCTGGCAGGCAAGAGGCCTCAATCCGCCAGAGATCGCTAGTTGCAGCAGATCCAGTCCATCCAGCGAAGATCCAAAGCCGGCCAAACTCGTCGAGACTGGCCGAGTGCTGCGCTCGCGGATCTGGCGCGCTGCCACTGGGGTGGAGCTGTTCCCACCTTTGCGCCTGCAGCTGCGGAAGCAGTGCATGATTGTTCTCTTCAATCAGCTCTTGTGCAGGGCTTTGACCCTTCTGCCTTGAGGTCGAATTTCCACAGGTCGTTCAACAGGATGCTGTCATCATGCGGGCCGCCATCACTTCTCCCTCCAAAAAGGAAGAGCTCCGTGGGTTGGATGCTGGCATTGAGGGCAAGCGCAGAAAACCCCCTTGCGGCTGGCCAGGGCTGGCCTTCATTCGCCAGCTGCGTCCACCTCTGCGCCTGCCAACAGGATCTACGCACCATGCAACACAACTCGCATGAATTCAAAACATCACGTCTGCCTGGCTGCTAAACTTCCACAGCTCATCCACAGACTGCTGGCGCAATCCCCCAAAGAGCCATTTGCAGTTTTCCGCATCCATGACGGCTGCTTGGGCGCCGCTCCGTGCGGGCCAAGGGGCCGCCCTTTGGATCTGAGTACAGCTGGGGACCTGCCAGAAATCCCCCTCATGCAGCCAGAATCTTGACATACAACTTCACAAGTGTGGCATGCTTCTCAAAACCTGGCCACGTACTGAATGGGCGCCCAACTCCCGCGCCTGGGCCCACACATCGAAATTCTGCAGGTCTGAAGGATACGAAGAACCAGTGAGTGTGTCTTTGGTCTTTGAACTCTTCCGGATTAAACAGCAGCCTCCGTTAAAGGCTGGGGGCCCTGCACCAAGCAAACCAACTCTCATTTACAACAGGCACCCAGCCCAGCCTCGCCCTGCACATCGCAACTCCACAGATCGTCCAGTACTTCCCACCAGCTCCAGGTAGCGGACCCTCCAAAGATCCACATCTTGCTCGTAGAATCCAGGACTGCAGAATGACCGGATCGGGCTGGAGGGACAGGCTGCATCAGTTCGAGCTGACTCCACGTCAAATCCTGCCGGGAACTCAGTACGAACCAGACCTCGTCCTGGGCTCTCTGCAACCCTTGCACAGCATTGTGGCATGGCCCCTGCTTGCACGGCTAGCCTGCTGCGCGTGCAGAAACATGCCTCGGAACTTTCACTCTGGCCTTGATCTGGAACTTCCACAAGTCGTTGAAGATCTCGCCGTCATCATCAGCGAGCCCGCCGAAGAGAAAGAGCTGCCTCCCAGCGGCATCCGCGACAACGGAGTGCCCGCCGCGAGATGAAGGCCAGGATCCGGATCTCGGAAGACGGGTCCAGCTCCCGCCCTGCCACTGCGAGCCAGACAGCGACTGGCTACCGAATGCCTATTCCTCCTGTGGTAGCTTACATCGTCCGAACCCTGACAGAAGTAAAACGCAGGAATCAGGCGCCAGCGGCCTGCCTGGATGCTGTACTTCCACATATCGTTGAGGCCGCTGGAGTCATCCCAACCGCCGAAGATCCAGATGTCACCCGCGATCAAACTAGAAGAGTGTCCATTCCTGCACAGCGCCCGCTTCCCCAACAGCACCCTGGCTAGAACAGAGAGCATCCAAGCGTAGGCGTAGAGCGTAGATCTTACCGCGGAAGCTACGAAACTCAGAATGACATATCCTGTGGGGGAAAGCCATGGAATTTGACAAAAATTTTGAAAGGCACATCTCAAAACCAAAATTTAGTGGCACAGAAACTACCCATTTCTATTTAATGGACTTATAGCTTCGTTGGAAAGACTTGTGCTGAGACCTCAACGTAAAATAATTCATGGTCTCGCGCATCTCCATATACATATATATATATATGGAACTGCCAGCAAAGGCATCTACATAATGGAGTTGGTTTGCTTGGAGATATCGAAAACGTCACATGGAGGGTGCATGGGGAGACATGAATTTAATTCATCCCGACCTATATGCAGTGGAGCGAATTCTGGGAAACCTGTGCATGCGGAGCAGTAATAGACCGGCTGCAATAAGAGACGGCAATAAAACGCAGACGTACAAGGAGGTCTACATGTGGAAAAGATCTTTGTGGAGGCACATGCATCCTCCTCACCTGGTGCGGACTTGCACTACCAATGGCACTGGGCATTGCTCATGGCTTCAAGATGCGTTCTGCTTGGTGACCCACTAGTCCAATTGTGGCCACCGGTCGATAAGCACCTTGGGCCCTTGACCTTCCTTGGCCTTCATCTGGGTCTTCTTGATTCTTGGGACGGCATACAGGCATATAGGCATTGTGGAATCGCAGCACATGCCACGCGGCTCTCCCTCGCACTGTGGTTCTGGTAGAGTTGGTGTGAAGCAACTATGCCTTAGCTCCTGGTTGCTAGAACGCGTGCCTGGGCATGTAACAGCCCTTTGGTCATGCTCTGATGAGCGGACAAGCCTGGCATCTCCTATTGGGCAACTTTAGTTTTCTGAGCAGATCCAATTACTTACGTGATTTCATTTGTTGTCACAACTGGTTTGAGGACCATGAACTCCGTGGTGCCACACACAGCTGTCAAATAAAGTCATGCAAGTACTTGGATCTGCTCAGAAAAGTAAAGTTGCCAAACAGGAGATGCCTGCCCGGGCCGCTCATCAGATCATGACCAAGTGGTTGCCACATGCCCAGGCACATGTGCCAGAGGAATTCCAGAAGAGCCAACGCATAGTTGCTTTGCACTAGGCCTATGAGGGAGCGCTATGTGGAATATGCAGCATATGCTGCGAAATCCAGAAGACCTATGTGCCTATTGCCTATATGCCATCCAAGGAATCAAGAAGACCCTGATGAAGGCCAAGGAAGGTCAAGGGCCCACGGTGCTCATCAACCACTGTGGCCACAGATGGTCCAGTGGGGTCACGGAAGCATGCATTGTGAAGCCAGCAGCAAGCCGCATACCCGGTGCCACTTGGTGGCACAAGTCATCACCAAGTCAGGAGGATGCCAACCTCCAATGGAGCCATGCAAAGCCAGATAGGATAGAAATCCCGAAGCTGGTGCCAAAGCGAGCCTTTTACTGCATGTAGATCCGCGCAGCATCCCTCAGCACACAAAGAAAAACAAAAAGAGCTTACTTCGGCATGGGCCCTGGTATGTTCGTGCCAACCTGTTGTTTTGGTATAGGTGGCATGTCAGCAAACACAAAACAAACAGACATCTGCAAACAAGTCGCCAAGATTGCAGAAGGATTGTAACTGCAAAAGACAATTTGGCCATGAACATATTATGGTCCTTAAATACATCCTGCCAAACATTTGAAAAGATGGCTGGCCTCGGCATTTTTGCCAGTATAGTGTCGGGCAGTGCTTGATAGTATGTCTTGGCCCGAGTAGGAGCCTGCAGAATATGGTACATGCTGATGCTGAAAAATGCTATAAAACCTCAAAAAAAAAGAGCGCGCCAAATGGGGCCACCAGGGTGTCCCACCCTCCAGAAAAAACTACATTACGTAGGGGATTGTTTCGGAAAGCTTTGTCAATTTCCAGTTTTGGAACAAGAAGAGAGCCGAAGAAAGTCCTCCAGGGAGGCTCCACACAACCTTCATTGTTTGGCTAGTTTCAACATGAGCGCGCCATATCAAGGATTAGCAACAATCATGACCCCTGGACTATGTGGGAGAAGCATAATTGAGGGGATATACAAATCCCTCCGATTAAAGTGATTGAAGGGCTCTATACTCTACAGTAGGTGGTTCTTTTGAGAAGCTCTCTCATTTCAAAAAGCAAAACCCAAAACCCAGGCTAGCTGAGTGGGCCTTGCTGGTGGCCAGCACTCCTTGGACGGCATCTGCACCCACTTCAGCTCCTGAAGGCCGACTGTGCCAGCAAAGGCATCAGAACGCAAGGAATTGCACAAACATTCCGCGAGGTTTGACGAGGACTTTGGGGATCGGTCTGTCTCAGGACAGTTCTGGGATCCTTTCCAGCGAGGTCTTGTGCATGAAGAGTTGGCTTTTTTTGCAAAAAAATACACAAGACCCAGCCCAGCAAGAAAAACCCATCCTACAAAGGTCGCAACGGCAAGGCTCCCGAAGCTAAGCATGCCCTCGGCTTCAGGACGGATGCTACTTGTAAACTTGGACGAAATGAACATAAGCAAATTCCCCCAGGTCCTGCCCATATGCTGCGCATGCCACACTTGCCAAAAGGATCAGGACACTCCTGAGATTGGTTAGACTCCGCAAGAAGAAGCATAAGAAGCAGACTGACAACTTCACAGGAGACTTACACTTAGACTCAACATCATGGTAAGCATGATGTTGAACAACTATGACTGAAGCAGACCGTGAAGCTGACGCCATCAATCAACACAACAGAGGGTGCAAAAATGCCGACACCGATCAGGCTCAGCCTATGCCCTACACCAGGTAGTATACTAGAAGATCCAGGCGTCCCTAGGCAATTTGCAAGCAATATACCAACTGATGCAATGAAGAAGGGCTTGGCGATGGGATCTCAAGCCATAAGGCAAGACTCATGCTACAGGGGCTTAGCAGGGTCATTGAAGTGGAGTTCGCAGCATGAGTCTTGGGCTTTTCGCACCTTGGCAGAACAAGTTATGGGAACTACAGAGGTCGCTTAAAACCAAGACCGTAAGCCCTAAACCCTCATACTACGCAAGTGCTAATTTGCGGTCCTAGTGACATTGGGCGGCGGCTGCTGCCTGGACAGGCTGGCAAAAGTCCACATGACGCGTCGACAAAGCGGGGTTTAGGGTTTAGGGTTTCATCCTCCAGAAATACCCAGTTGATGAAGTTTCGGGCTTGCTCGGCACTTGCAACCTGCAGTCCACACTACGAATCCCCGACATCTTTGCCAGGGCGCTCAGGCTGCGCCTTTGTCACAGTCCAGAGGGAGCGCTCAACGCAGCGGAGGGGGACTGACCATGTTGCGCATTCGTAGGACAGCCGTCATTGTAACAACCAAAGCTGCGGGCGTTGGCTAGAAATACTTTGCATAAAAAAATAGCAAGAAGCATCGCCAAAGCAGACGTTGCGCAAAGATTCTGGAGCCCAGCCACGGCCACAAATGACGTGTCTCAGAGTTAGGGATCTCTCTGCGATTGGCCTTCTACTTAAGGCCTTACTAAAGTGAACTGGTTTTGTAGAGGGCCCGCAGGCTGATCAATGCATCTATGTAGGGGCCATGTAACTGGGATGTGGATCGGGTCCCGAAATCCCAAAATCCCATTTCCCGACCAAAGCTCGGGACAAGGCCGGATGCCTGCGATTACGTCAGGAAATTACCCCCAATCATTGCAAATCGTGCAGGATCAAATGGGATGAAAAAAGGAAACTGGGGTGGGGTATTGTAGGGACAGTTACCCGTATCACCGGTTCCTCGTACTCCAGACAGAGCGACAAGGGAGATGGATTTGCAGTTTGCCTTTGCTCCGGCATAACTCCAGTTTCCCTACCAGGTGCCCATACAGTCCCAGCGTGTCAAATCGACTCTGCGACGCAAGAGTGCAAATGTGCACACTCTCGTTCGCGACATCGATGCCTGCGGTTCGCCATGCTGACTAGGTTGGCTCTTGGCATTTTGGCTCTGGCCTGCTAGTTGGCTTGTGACCCCTATGGAATGCTTTCCACGTATCATATGCTCTGCATTTTCCTAGGGAGCACTGTTCTTGTACGATAGTGCGGGGCCTGACTTTGAAAAAGCACCTACACCTACGCAGCCTCCACGAGATTCTTTTTGGTCACCAGATGCCACAGCAGTAACTGGGCTGCTGCTAAGGAACCTGAATTCAATTACAAGAACAAGGAAACCTTACTATTTTTACTACATACGCAGATTATGGTAGCTCAATTGAGGTTCCTAAACAGCAACCTAGGCAAGAGTGAGCCCAAGCCCCACTGATGCCTCCTGAGACATCACGGAAGTCTGTATGTGCCGGGCTGTAGAATGCTGGAATCTGCCATGAGTTTGCCCATGACTGGGCTGCTGTTAAATAGCTTTATTCAGTTACAAGAATAAGGTTCGCCTTCATTTACATTACGAAATACCCATACTTTGGTAACTACATTGAAGTTTCATACAGCAACCCAGATGACATGCCTGTAAGACTGTAAGGACAGAGGGGCGCCCCTTTTTGGAGAGGTCTTCCTGAACAGTCTCCATCTTTGCATCTGCATGTGCTTCGGGGGTGGTCTGAACTTCCAAGCTACCATTGCCTGTCAGATCCCAAAGGCCCGGATGCTACAAAGCTGTCTATGTGAGACGCCAGGCCTTGTACTCAGCTACTGGGCCTTCCCTTCTGCTCACCGTCCCGTTGGGCAAGTTCTATAAATGCTTCACCTCGATTTTACTGATAGTGTGCTACAAAACACCTACCCAACTCCTTGCACACACACTCCAGAGAAAGCTGAGAAAGTCACGTGAGCCGAACTGGGGTATTGTCGTGATGTTAGAGCTTGACCACATGAAAAATGTTGCCGCAACAACGCGCAATGCAAAAGGGAAGTAAAATCGCCAGACCTGGCACTCGTGATCTCTTTGCGTGAAACAAG